AGTTAGTTTGCTCTTTTTACCCCTGGTAGAAAACAGAGAATCTTTGGTCCTTACGGCGGAAAAGATAGCATTGTATTTCTCATTGTTCTTATGTCCCGATATCCTACGATATCAAGTCACTGACCTGATGACTACGATATCTTATGCTCACTTGGCCGAATTTGAGTACGGTAAATACCTAATCGTACCTTTTTGGGACGCTTCGGTTGCACATGGGCACTTTGGCTCGACTACAACTCGCAATAAAATACGAACCATGGATCGACCAAACTCGCCTGATATGCCACTCAAGCGTATCAAAAAGGTACGATTAGGTATAACTAATATATCAAACACGAGAGACAGTGTTTCATCGAAATATTCAAACATCGAAAAGAGCGTTGAAAATACAACGCGCAGCGGAGTATTTTTGACGAAATTCGAGGTGTTTAGATAGCCGATGAAACAGTGTCCCGAGTGTTTGATATATCTTCTCAATTGAAACAAAAACTAAGGAGTAAACGGAGAAGTAAAATCGTCAAAATCTATGTTAATTAAAACCGGGCATCCAAACCTCCTTAACGGTTGTGACTTTCTTTGTTTTAACTAGATGAATCACGAATGAGTTTGAGAAGTATTATTTCATACTTTCTGGCGGCAACCTTCCAGTATTAATTTTCGGCTGTATCACAAAGATCACCAGGGAGGATGCATATTCAACATATCCGCACTGTTTTTCGCATATAATAATCCATACTCAGGCGTACAATCAGCGAGCCGACTTTGTCCCCCCAGTATCACAGAATAGAAGGCAATGACAACAATTTGTTGGTGAGGCAGTGCAAGAGTTGAAAGATTCCCTTGGGTTATTTGAGCCAGTGTAAGCACTGTATGAATGTAGCAGGGTCTAGTAACTTCACTTCAGTAAATGTTTCCTTCGGTAAATGATCTCGCTTGGACGAAGAAGGCAGGCATACAGTCGAACTTCTCCATAACAGTCACATTGGGGACAGAGGAAAGTGGCCGTTGTAGAGACGTGGCCGTTATGGGGAGGTAGGGGTGTAATATGACACCTTTTTTTCGGGGGGTGCAACTAAAAATGCTTATTTTTAGCATATACTATAATTAAAGA